GAATTGAAATGTATCGTAAACTATCCTTGGCAGTATCTCTTATTTGTGATTAAGAGGACACCTACTGGAATCAGTGTACTTTTGTTGACTCCTGGTCCAACTACTTACTGGACTGTGTTGTGTTGGCCAAGCTATTTAACCTAGTTTGAGCCTCACTTTTCTCATTTGTAAATGAGAAGAATAATATTTGATCTAGGAAGATTGTTACAAGGGTAAGCAAGTTAATGTCTTAATCTGTGAAACTGGGTGCTACTGGACAGCCCAGTTTATGCGTGTGTTCGTAGAAGTAGTTGTAATTGTGATGGTGGTTGTAGAGGGAATAGTACTGGGTCCACTAGTTCTCTTTACTTTCTGCTTAGTTCCAACCTCAACCTGATTTTTTTTGTTTGTTTGTTTGTCTAAGAAGTTTTTTTTCTCTTTAGGGATTTTATCTTAAGATTCAATAAAGGAAACTTAAAGTACTAACTTTAGCTTAATTTGAATATTTTCTGGTATAGTTTACTTGGGATAAAATTATCCTAAAAGACGTATTAAATAATTCAGGTATCTCATAGTCTTTTCATCCTTACTTGAAATTTTCTACCTCAAGTTCCTCGGGCATGAAGTTCTCTTGTGACTGCTGTAATTGAATCCAGCAGATACTTACCATGTCTCTTAGTTATCTAGTGCTGCAGTAATAGGCCACACATCTAAAGGAGAAGATGGATCATCAGTCTCCCAGCTATAGTCATTCTGACGCCATGGTGTATAACAAATAATAAGAGCTGTCAGGAGCCACAGGTAGAGGGCTTTCACAAGCAAAGAGATTTATTCTCTTGCTATTTTGGAGGCTAGAGGTCCAAATTCCAGGTGTCTGTTATCAGGGAACATCTTGCCTCTGTTGCTTCTAGGGGAAGGCCTTTGTTTCCTTCACCATCTGTAGACCCAGCGTTACTTGGAGATCTCCATGGATCTTGACCTTCTTTAGTATCAAGGAGTTTCTTAATGCAAACACCTGAGTCTAAAAGAACACACACTCCACTCTGGTTAGTTCTTTCTTGGTGGTACTGAGGTTCTCTTAACTCATATTTTTAACTCATATAAGGTAAAAGGTACTATAGGTTAAGCCCTAAGGAAACTAGATCAGGAATTGTTGTGATGGGATTAAGGGGTGTTGCATTTCACCCTTATTCCTTTTATGACTATTTGATATCTCAGATCATGGAGGATCATTACTTACATATACTTTTAGGTAATATAGGTTATCCTTAACAGTAACTATTGTGAGCTGGTTGGTGGATTCTCTCTGTAATATCCCAAATAGGAAGCTATTCTTACTCTAAAATATTTTGTTTCTATTGTTGATAAAAATCCTTGCTGACGAAGCAAAATACAAACCATATAACTTGCTGATAGGTTTCTAGCTGTACCAGTTGGTTCTTTTGAGTGGGATGTTCAGCCAAATAGTAATCTTCATTATTTTCTGGTAGCATTTGTCTACCTTCTTCACAAAGGCATTAGAATATCTTAACTACATCCTAAGAATAACTATTCTTTTTATAAGATCTACAAGTCTAGTACCCCAAAAACAAGAAATGTGATTTGTTGGATGTAGTTATTTCTTTGACAAATCCATGGGAATGGCACATTTTTCTTGATGTATTTTATAATACCTGACCTAGTAGACTACAGACTACTCATCCTGTTCCCTCCTCCCCCATTTGTCAATGAAGGGATACTTAGCCACTTTGAGATTTTTGTAGATTTCTCATTTTCTCTTAAAATTTGTCAACACTGGTTTCATAATCATATCCAGAGAAGTAAAATGTTTAGAGACTTGAGTTCCTTCAAGGCAGCAAGGCTTACTGGCTCTTCACTGGTTTCGCACTTTGATCAGTCTTAACATTTCTTATTCTCTTTATGGTTTAAAACTCATTTTCCCCCTGAGAGAATAGCTAGAAATAAGATAGAAGTTGAGAAGTTTTATTTCTTTACTGTCTTCTCTGGCAACTGCTCTAGCTAAGCCCTGGCCCTGCTCTTACCCTCAGCTAGAGTTTAGACATCTTTGTAAAAATAAACAAAAAGGTTCTATTCCTTCCATCCAGAAATTATCTGTTCTTTTTCAAACCAAGGAACTAGATAATTTAGTTGTTGTTGTTAAGTGCCATCGAGTTGCAGGAACAGAGATCCTATGAAGGAAAGTCCTCAACGCTTGGGTGTCTCTCATCCTCTCTCCAGGTTCATAGGGTTTCTGGAGGCAAGCTATTATGGAAGTGGATGCCACTCCTTCCAAGCTTGTTTTAATAGGGGAGCTCCACCCCACTCACTGTCCGCCTTGGGTAACCAACCATTAATACATTATCAGTGTCACAGTGTTCAGCCTCACGCAACCAAAAGTGACTGTGGTATGGCAATTTGTACACCAGGGCTATACGACCTAGAGGAATTTCTGAACAAAAACAATGAAAGACAGGCTGGAGGGCCACAGATTAAAAGTCACCCACCTTCGTATTGGTAGCATTACTTTCTGTCCACTGGGCCAGCTGATCTCTCTCTATGTTGATGTTATTGTTGTTAAGTGTTGTTGAGTCACAGGTGACTTATAGCATATCAACAAAGATAATTTAGTTTGCAAAGTATACTCTTCCAGGTACACCCTTAGCAACTGTGGAAATGCGTAAGAAATCCTGCATAGCTAGGGTGTTTGATACCTTCAATGCCAGTGATTCATTTTTCCTGCTGCCATTGATTTTGCATTTCATGCCAGTATAAATCACTGGTCTGATCTATATATCCTACTGTGTAGAAAGTTAATAGATTTTGTGAACATTTTTTTTCCCTTCTTAACAAAATTAATTTTTGTTGTTCTATGTGCTATAGTTCACACTGTAAGTTGTCTGTTTCAGCAGCAGATGTCACCCTTGAGCTGTTTGTAGACTTTGATAAGGAAATTTTCTAGAACCTGAAATATGCTTTTGTTTTTCTTCTTTTTCATTGTTAGAAAATGTAGATAAAATATTCTTTGCCTTCTTAACCTAAGATACTCTTGAAATCAGATGTAGCAGAACCAGTATGCTTTGTCTTTCATGATTCTTATAAATATGAACTGGAAAAAGCTTGAGGAGTGGTTTTGTATGGACCTTGACAAAGAAAACTAAACTGAGGAATTACTTGTCTGACGAGGCAGGGCTTAGAACAGTCTCTTTAAATTTTTAGGTTTATGCCATTTTCTTAGAATGAGGCTTTCAAAGGTTAAGGAAACATAAAAATCAGTCGTCATCTCCTTTTAAAAAAGTCAAGTGCCAGTTTGGTTAACAGCATTCCCATTATCACTGATGATGCAAAGGACTGTGAGAACTCCATCAGTGTTTTCACCAACATACTATTGTGATAGCACTTACACTTAATTTTTTCCCCCTTTAGTTTTCTTCAGTCACAATTTTAGGTTCTAAAATAAAAATATTCTTTATGTGCTTTTCTTTGTTTCTGCCTCAGTATCTTGGTGTGTATTGTCTTTTGTTGGAAGCAGGAGTGGCATCCATTTCCTAAACAACATGCCTCTGAAAACTCTATGAACTTTGAGAAACGATAGTTATTAGAAGGCTTCAAGTCTTTTGTTCACAGTGTTGCTGTGAGTTGTGCTCAAGTTGATAGCAGTCAACAACAACATTGTCTTTTGATTGTTGTAGCTTCTCCTCTTAAATCTTTCTTTTTGCTTTTTAAACAATAATATAAAAAGTGAAAATGTATCTAGAATATTGTTTAATAACTTAAAATGTAATTTTATCATTTTAAAGCTTAGAAAGGTACCAAGGTTTACATATAGGAACAATCCCATTTTATCTATAATTAAAGATAAATTGTCTGTTTAAATTGGCTGTTGTGTTGTACTGCTTTGTTGCCACCAGACCCACGCTAGCCATTAGAGGAGGCCTTTGAAATGCTCCAGAAGGCTCCAGCTAGGTGGGAAATTAATGTTAGGTAATTCTTCAAACCCTTCCAATATAAGTGTTTAAAGTTCTGGTGCTTTAAGTTCATTTTGTCTTAGAAAACTATGATCCCTTTAATGTAGCCAGCTTTCTCTGTAAAGGAGATCAAACTCCGTATTGTCCCTGCTGGGTAAAATATGCTTTATATCAAGCAGGGAGCATGGTAGATACTGAAAATCCTTTGGAATTTGTAGGAAATACATTTTAAAAGAGAAATAGAGTTGTTCAGAGCCTGATTTTAAAACATGTTCTGTTAAATGCCTCCAGTTTACACATTTGCTCATACTTTTAAGATATTTAAATACCCAAGAATAATTTTCTATTTCTTCTCTTCCACCTCTCCTCCTCCTCCAGAGCAGTTAGTCTTGGTATCAGGCATTTAATCACGAAGTCTAGGCCTAAGAGCATTTTTTGTTTGTTTGTTTTGGGGTTTTGGGTTTGTTTTTTTCTAAGAGCATTTTATTTTGTGTGATACCCATTGCTGTTCACCACCTTTTCCATCAAGACAGATTCCTGATCAAAGGAGAATCACAACTCTATTTAGCAGTCTAGAATGTAAATGGCCATCTTAACTTGCGTGTAGATATAGTCATTGTTATATGGATCTCTGTGTAGTTTTCCCCTCGTATTCCTGTTCTATCCATGTCTGAATGCTTTTAAATCCTAGAAGAGAGAAAAGACTGCTTGTATCATTTCTTTTATTCTTGGCACAACTATGCGTTTACTTAGGAACTTAATAAATTCATATTATGACCCTTTTAAAAAATCTGGTTTTTATTATATATTTTATTTTATTTGAACACCTTAATATTTATCGAGTGTTATACTGTTTTCACTGGAAGCAATATAAAAAGGTTTTTTCATGTAATATTTTTGCCCAAAGAAGGAAAATTGGATAATCTTAATACATAATTCTAGTTTAAAGAGATGATTTGATACATGACAAAGTTATTTATGTAATTCTTCATATAGTTTACATATAGTTCACCTTTATTGATCACTGTAATATTTAAATGCAGACTGTCATTTTCACTATACATAACTGACTTGTTCTTCAGTTTTGTCACCTTCATTTTCGGTTAGGAGAAGTGTATCTAATAAAATGACTGAAGACTGAATGGTTGAACTTCGGAGTCTCATTGGACTCTGGTACATGGCAGGATTCATTCCATTTGGCATTCCATGTTTAACAAAAAATGTAGAGTTCTCTGTCATTGGATTCTGGAAGTAGATCTTGCTGGAGCATTTTCTAAGAGTTTTCACTGACTTTGTGGACTGGTAATTGCAAGTAATGTATCGTCCAAATGCATCTCGAAAAGTCTTGTTGAAGAGGGTATAGACCAAAGGATTTACCCCCGAGGAGACATAGCCTATCCACACAAAAATCTCCAAGAGTTTATTGAGAGTAGACTGGTTGCAAGAATCACATACAGCTAAAGTTATGTTTGTAACAAAAAAAGGACTCCACATAAGCAAAAAGAGGAAGAAAACAATCCCCAGGACTTTTGAGGCTCTCTGTTCATTAGAGATGGTCTGCACTGACTTTTTTCCAACGGTGGACATCCTTCGCATAAATAGATCATCACTTGAGTTGGACAGAGTTTTGTCCTTGCGAGACCCATCCAGCATTGCCACCCTTTCCGGTGATGAGCAAGGCGTTTCATCCCTTTGGAAAACAGTGGACACAGTTGTCCATGTCAGCCGGTGAGGTGGCTTATTTTTGACCAAGTAAGCCTTCTTCTGTAAAACGTGAATGGTGAGAAAATAGGTGGCAATCATGATCCCAAGAGGTATAAAGAAGGCAGCAAGGGAGCCAAAGAGCATGAAGTTGCTGAAACGGTCCTTTGTCAAAGCACAGGTGATGTTGTTTAGGTTACCTTTGTCGGCCTGTATACCTTTAATAGGTACTGGAATGGCAATGCCTAGGGAAGAGGTAACACAAGAACATTAATGACATATAATTCTTAGATAGGCTCATTAGAGGATAGCCTCGTGGCAGTGTGCTTATTGGTGCTCTGTAATTCCTGTTTCCTTCACTGCAGAAAATTTCAATATATTTGCAATGGAAGACTTGACTAATAATAGCACTTAAGTAAGCAAATCTGTTTTTAAACAGGATTGATCAGGGATTCAGGTTTATTAATGAAAGCTTTTCCTTGAGCTATGCAAAAATATAGTAGGAAAGATCTTTCTTTATGCATTCTCTATTTCATCATAATCTGTTTTTAGGTTTGTTTTTCTTTCCTAGATGAAGGAAAATAATTTGAAAAAGAAACTCCTTTTAATCCTAATAGCCAATCTAATTGATGTAAATAGGCATCAGAGAGTACATTAGTGAGATACTTGAATTCTGGATAGGTATCTATTGCAGTTTTGTTGGTTTTTTTAAACTGTGCCTTAATCCTTTTCTTTTGACTTATTAGGGAAAGCGAAGGGGTTCACTGATTTTTTTTTTTTAATTTGTGTGTTGTTTTAAAATAAATGTTACTTAAAAATTGGAGAGCATGTAAAATATTCCTTCAAATTCCTTAAATGAGCTTTACAGTTCACTTAATGTGGATATATAGGAAGAAAATAGACCTCAGGCTGATTCTGTAGTACTTTAAATACCATATTTTAGGTATGTAAATAAGGTTTTGCTTAGAAAAGCAGCTTATTAGACAAGTAACACAAGAAGTCTGTCTGAATCCTTTTCTTTTTGAAATAGTAAATATTTAAAAATAAGCCTGAATTAAATGAGCTTTAGAAACCTCCAGAATTCTTGTCATGTTTTATGAATCCAAAAGCACACTGTCATCTGCACAGCCTTTTTTGGTAGCTAACGGGCCTTTCACAAGGCTGTTTTCTTCAAACCCTTTCTAAAGCCCCTCACTACTTTTTCTTAGGGACTGAAGAAAGGGTTTGGGGTACTTGTTACTTTGCCCCTGGAACTGGTTAAATAAGCATACCAAATATGGTCATCCCTGCTTTTTTGTAAGTGACTTTTACACCTGTAGGTCAGTGAATTGTCTGGAGCTCCTTTTGTTCTACCACAGCAGAATTAAATAGTTGTGCTAGAATTCATTAGGTGACCCGCAAAGTCTCAGCTGGCTTTTCTCCCTGCTGACAGCCTTACCATCCTGACTAGATGTGCCCTTGATCTTGCTTTCCTCTAAACCAAAATAACAGCACTCTGCTTTTACCTCTAAGATTTCCAAAGGAGAGAATTTGATCCTGCTATCATTATTTCAGGAATAAAAAGAGAGGCTTACTTTTATGCCCTGTTCTTCCTGATTATAGTGGAATTGTGAGGTATTTTTATCTCTCAACTCAACTTGCCCTCTTTTCATTCCAAGTCTTTCTTGATAGTTCCTCTTTTTGATTTTCTTTTCTAGAAGAAATCAGTCTGCTTGTCATAGTACTAATGTTCATAATTGTGAGTCTGTTCCTGTGATACTTAAAAGAGGTTCAAGTTATCATTTATACTACTTCATGTTAATTTACTCTTATCATAGCACCTGTTTTTTGAGTATTAAATATAGACACCAGGACAGAAAAGCAGTTTTCTTAGAAACCATTCCTGAACCTCAGTTTAATGTGTTTTGGTTTTTATATATCCCTTACTTATAACTTTAAGCAGACACTTTTAAGTGCCACTGCTTTTGACCTGTACATTTGGAGAAATACAGATTTCCAAAGTAAATTTTTGTTAATCTTTGATGCTTGCCTACCAAAAATAGATTCTTTTTTTATTCTTTTCCTCTATATCTTCTTAGATATAATTTAGAATATTTCTTGTTCCTTTAAGAAGCTGTACTTATGAGATTCTATGTAGTAGGTATACCTGAATCATTTTCTGTTGCTAGAGAAAACTGCTTTCTTAGATCTCAGTATTAAAGCGGGAAAATGGCTCATTGAAGACTATGAAAGCTGGTTGAGGTTGTGTTTTGTATTATTTTAGTTGGTGAACTTTTCTTTTTACCCACACTTTTGGTAGTAATATAACTTGGAATCTAATCATAGAGGCAGTGACCTAAGAAGTTTGTTGATACCTCAGTAAACGGCTTTGATTTACAGATGCCATACCTCATGCCATCCTAGATAGGTGGCACCAAGAGCTGTGTATACCAGCTCACACTCTGCCCTTCCCCACATACCTATTGAAATCAACCACACCACTGTGATCTTGATGAATGCTGTTGCTCGTGAGTTGTATTGATTGGCTTGGATTGGCTTTTTGATGGCTATGTAACGATCCACAGAGATGGCACAGAGATGCATGATGGATGCTGTGGAAAAGAGAACATCAAGAAATAGCCAAGCTGGACACAGAACAAGTGGGAGGGGCCACGTTGGCTCTGAAAGAAAGAAAAATACACGTCTTTAGTGCGTTTTAATTTTTCCACCTCTTCCCCCCCCATTATTCAAGTTTTATGACTTAATTAATATCAAGAAAATAATGTTTAATTTTAATGGGAATGGTGGTATTAAGATTGTAACTGTTCAATACACTTTCTCTCGTGCTTAGTAATTGCAGCTCTTTCTAAGTAAGCAGCAGTTTAAGAACATGTTTAAGAGCATATTGACCTTTCCTTTTTTGATCATTTGCAACCGTTCACAAAAGGTCTTTCACACAGTGTTGCAGTTGGAACAGAACTTGCTATTCAAATAATTTTTTTTCTTAAGATTAAAAACAAAAATACATAAAGATAATTAGGAATTTCAGCAAGGCTTGAGTTTTGGCTCACTTTTGGCAATAATTAGCAACATGCTCTTTGCTGATGGCTGATGTTCATTTGGTGAAATAACTAAGTGCAATGATTTTTCTATTGACAGAAATCATTATTGAATCAAGTTTGCAAAGAGTGGCTTTAGATTTTCTTGGGAAACAAAAAGTTTTTTGTTTACCCATCCACATACCATCATTTTCATCAAACTCTAGAGATGTAATAAGCAACACACACAGACGTTTACCAGACATTTACTTTAAAGAAAGAATCTCAGAATTAGACATCATATTTAATTTTACATTCTTTCCAAGTGCTTACTTTCTGTGTAGATCATATAGTCTTAAACACTTGTTTTAGTCATAGGTTTGTTTGGTATTGAATGTTCTACAACCATGAGTGTACATAATGCTTACTACATATATGTTTGCAGCTTCAGAAGAACTAAAATTCATCTTATAAAGGAAACTATAAAAGCAGACATTTTCTGTATAGAAAAAGTCATGCATATGAGATTATTTTAAATTCTGTCTCCTGTTTAATTGTTGTGTGTCCACTGACAAAATAAGGAGTCCTAGTGGTACAGTACAGTGCACTGTGTGTCAGGCTCCTCACAGAAAGATGGCAGCTTGAATCTACCAGATGCTCTACAGAAAATGACCAGGCTCTTTTAATAAAGATTTATTACCTCAGAGACCCAGGGAAGGGTCCCCACGAGGCAGAGCTGAACCAGCAGCAGGTTTGGGTTTTGCTTTTACTGTTTAATTGTGTCTGCTGAAAAAAAAAAAAGAAAATGTTTTCTTTTTGTTTTTTACAAGTGTACCTGACTTTATAAAGTGAATGAAGAAAGGAAGACCAAGATGTGGCCTGTCTCAGAATTGCAGGGCCTTTCCCTGTGTGCACCACTGCAGTTTAGGGGGCTGGCACGTAGTGTGGGATTTACTTAGACCAGCATGCCAGATCCAAAAAAGAGCATGTGGGGAGGCAGGGAAGGACACAGATGCAGAAAGATTAACTTGAATATGGTATTTTCCAAGACTGTGTAGGATTTCAGAGAACTATATTTGGAGTCTTCACAGAACAGATACCATGGCTGACAGCTTCACCTTTTGTGTCTTCTATTTCAAGTTTTTTGTTCATAGGGTCACGATGAGTTGTATTTGACTTGATGACACTTAATCTCTGCTAAGTGAGACTAGTGTTGTTATATTTGGAGGAACATTCTTCTACTTTGTACATCATTCTTGATCAGTTTTCTGTACTGAGGGAATCTGGGTTCGCTGTCATACTGAACCTTGTGCCATTGGGGTATCAAACACCATGATGGTCTCCCATTGTGGACAGTGTTTGGTGCAGCTCCTAGTTGTAGAATAGTTTTGGAAGCAGGAGTGGCATCCAAAAGCTCTATGAACTTTTGAAATGACGATAGTTATGGAAAGGCATTAGTTAGGTCTTTTGATCATAGAGTCCGTTTGAGTCGTATTTGACTCAATGACAGTCAACAACAGAAACATTTCAAATTACTTTGGTGTCTTTGATAGGACTATGAAAATATTTCTTCTTTGGGACAAATATAAAGAAAATTTGCATGTGGTTTTATTTTTAAAAGGTAGACTATTGTTTGATACTTTTACAGTTAGTTACTTTTTTTTAAATAACTTCTCAATCATCCCTTGGCCATTGAGTTGATTCCAATTCATTGAGACCCTTTAGCACAGAGTAGAACTGCCCCAGAGACTTTCCAAGGCTTTTCATCTTTATGGAAACAAGCTGCCTCCTCTTTCTCACATGGAATAACTTTTTAAAAACCGACCTTTCAGTTGGTAGCCCTGTGCATAACTACTGTACCACCAGGGTGGAAGGAGTTGTTCCTCATTTCAGGTAAGTTACTATCACCAAACTTGCCTACTTGTTGAGTGTGGTTGTATATGTTGTTAAATTATGGGATATGGTAAATTACATTACTGAACTAGAAAGAACCTTAGAATTTCTACCACACATGTGTAAAAGCTGATTGGAAGTCTTCTTTGGAACCTTGTTGCCAGAAGCCTGGTCATCAGATCAGCAAATATTGGCACCTGATGGATACTGTATGGATGTAGTTTCCCCATCCTCATTCCAGCCCTTCTGAAATAGACTGTGTTTGTAAATCATATGTAAGTGTTTGTATACACTTTAGCATTTGAGAACTATGTTGTTAGGTGCCAGTCACTCAAATCCAACTCAGGTCAACCTCATGTACAGTGTAGCTAAACATCGCCAAATCCTTGACCATTCTCAAAGTCATTGCTGTTTGAGCCCTTTGCCGCCGTCAATGTCATTGCAAATCTTCCTCTCTTTTGCTAGTCCTCTACTTTTCCCAGCATGATGTCCTTTTCCAACGACTGTCTTCTCCTGGTTAACATGTCAGTGTGTGTGTGATCAAATCTCACCATCCTCACTTTCTAGCAGCACTTTTTCCAAGACAGATTTGTGCTGTCTTGCACGTCTTAAAAGATACGACGACTTTTTCCCCTCTTGCAAGATGTTGGATGAAAAGCTGGACACCAAGGAGAAGCCTGAAGCCAAGCCTAAAGCCAAGAAGACAGATGCCAGCAGCAGAGTTAAAAAGGCCAAGGGCAGAATGCCCAAGAATGGGAAGCCCCACTGCAGCTACAGTCCTGTCCTCCTCTGAGGCAGGTACTCCTGGTTGACCATGTATTCCAGGAAGGCCGGGTGTAAGAGGAAATATTCAGTCACTATGTCCAGGGTTGAAAAGGAGGAGAAGGTTCTTCCTGCTGTCACAAAACCAGTTAATGGTGATAACTGAGTGTTGAAACTTTGCAGAATGCCAAGGTATTACCCTACTGAAGAAGTGCCTTGGAAACTGTTGAGCCAGGGCAAAAATCCCTTCAGTCAGCACGTGAGGAAGCTGTGCTCTAGCATCATGCCCGGAATCGTTCTGATAATCCTCACAGGGTGCCACAGAGGTAAGAAAGTGGTTTTCGTGAAGCAACTTGAGTGTCATTTGTGCCTTGTGACCTGGCCTCAGACCCTCAATCGAGTTCCTCTATGGACAGCTCCCCAGAAATTTCATTGCTACCTCCACTAAAGTTGACACTGATGGTTTGAAAATCCCCAGACGTCTCACTGACACTTACTTCAAGCAGCAGCCGCTGCAGAAGCCCAGACACCAGGAGAGTGAAATCTTCAACACAGAGGAGAAATACAAGACTCCAGAGCAGTACAAGGTTGATGAGAAAGCTGAGGACTCTCACATTTTGCCAAAAATCAGAGCCATTCCTCAGCTCAAAAGCTACCTCCGTTCTTGATTCTCTATCACCATCGGAGTTTGTCCTCACAAATTGATGTTCCAGATTTCTTGAAAAAAGACTTAAATAATGTTTAAAGTGAAAAAAGGTACACCTAAATTTGCTGGTGAAGAATGGTTCTAGGGAGCTCTGGTGGCCTTGTGGCAAGAAGCTGCACTGCAGTCCCAGAGGTCCACAGTTTGAATCCACCAGATGCTCTGCTGGAGAAGGAGGGGCAATCTCCTCCTATACCAGTCAGATCCGATTTGACAGTACATACAAAAAAAATAATAGCTTTTTTTAAAAAAAAGAATGGTTTTAGAATACCTTATGTAGAGGAACTTACGGGAGGCCTTTCAAAACAAATAGAGTGGCAGGGATACTGATATTTAGGGAGTATCAGTTGGATTTTGCCCTCTTAGTTTTAGCAGTCAAAATTCACATTTTCGGCCAGTTGGTGAAAGAGGACCCTGAGTGATCAAAGGCAGTGGTGCATTTTTTTTTTACCAGATTTAGACATACTGACAGGCCAACCGCCTGGAAAATCACCTCATAGGATTTGGGAATCTTGTGAAAGCTGTTTGAAGAGGTTTTGCATTCTGTAGAGAACTGTGAAGTAGAAAAATACCCACATCTAGAGCTACAACTAGAAATCGTGACGTAAAGATTGTTGTTGTTGTTGTTAAGCCGTTGAGTCAAAGGTGACTCATAGAGACCCTATGAGTGAAAGTCCTCGACCCTTGCATGACTTTAATCCTTTCTCCAGGTTCATAGGTTTTCCGGAGGCAAGCTATTTATGGAAGTGGATGCCACTCCTGCTTCCAAGCTTATGTAAAGATTAAAAAGGCAAATAATGAATGTCTCTTTGGCTTCCTTTCTGTAAACACATGCATACTATTCATTTTTTAAATGTTTTGTTATTCGTTTAAACTTACCTGTTTAGTTATTCCGTGGGAACTGTTGGCGTAGTAGTAAGGAGCTGCACTATCAACCCTACGGCACTTTAGAATCCTCCAGCTGCTCTGCGCAGAAACATGGGCACTTTCCTCCCTTGTCATTTACACCCTCTGAAAACTCACTTGATGGTCAGCTATGATTCAGTTCCAACTTGGTGACATACAACAACAGTTAGCTTATTAAGCTCTTTTTTTAAAGTTACAGTCTGGAAAATTCTAGTCATAAATCTAGTAGTCGTGAGCAGGAAGCCACAGTAGAAGTCTCCTATAAAAATGCATGCTTTGAAATTAGATCGTCTGAACCATATACCCATCATTGTATAGTTACAGGCTAAGAGAGCCCTTAAAGCTGGTTTAGTATTGACCTCATTTTCCTGCAGAATGA